TCAGGGTGGACCAGGTACGTGAATGTTATAAGTGTTATTTACATTTTGTTAAATATCATTTTTTAAAAAATATGAGTGTTATAATAAATGTTTGTGTGCAATTTTGAACAGGTGAACTAGTTGCCGTACGGCCGCAACCCCGCTGATATTGAGGCTAGGACCCTCTATGCCGGGTGCATTAGGTACCGCGACATCGTGGAGCCCTACAATCCTCTGTGGTTGTTGCGTCAGCTGGGCTACGTCCAGCGTATCCCTCCCAGGATCCGTCAGCCATCCAGTGTAGTACGGGCTTGGGAGTCTCGGTTGTACAAGGTCGAGCACTCTGCAGAAGCTGCAGATGATTCCTGGGACGATTTCCCGCAGCTGTCAGCCGTCAACCTGGCTGCCTAAACCCCACCACAGTTACACCAGGGGAGGTCGAGCCGGGGTACTCCGAGTGGTTCGCTCGGGTTTCTCGTCCGAAGCTGTTGGGTGGTGATTCCAAATTTGTTGTGTACAAATTATTCTTTTTACCGAGTACCGAATCGAAAGATTCGTTCCCCGGGTCGATCTCACGAGGAAGGCGGTTCGGAATTTAGTTCTGATATTGATAACACATAAAAGCAAAATAAATCCTAAACATACTAATCAAATAAGGGAGTGAATAATTATCAACTAAGAAATGAATAATAATGCAAAATGTAAATCTACCTAAGAATATGAATGGAACGGAGATGGAGAAGCTAGGGAATCAGGGATAATTAATTCAAGTTCTAGCAAAGTCGGGCAATTCATTGTTCGGTTCTAGATTGACGCTCTCGCTTAAACGTCTAGCGGTTCGCTCCCAATAACTCTTCGTAACAAGGGATTGAACATAGACGAACAAGCTCAAGCATACAAAACAGGCCAATGATCCCAGTCCCAATAACTATTCGTAACAAGGGACGAGTCATCGACAAGCTCGTATTTCAATCTAAAACACATAGATTATTCAATTATGAAATCATCTACCTCATGCGAGCCTATTTCAACGACTTCTCCCCTTTCGGTTTTGAAAGCCGCTAAATCAATTAGAAGGTGTTTAATCAACTAATCATATATAATTGACAAACCCTAACTCGACAAACTAACATCCAACTGTCACCAATAGCAAGATCGAAATGTCACTTTTCGATTATGTCAATCTATCGAATACAAATTCATCAATTCCTTATCAAAACAACGCACATAAGAATGAACAAATCAAGCCTGACAATTACACAATGAACAAGAACAATAAATCCCCTATCCCTAGCACAAAAGATCAGCTACGTAGAACGAATCCAAAATACATAATCATTCTTCTCAAATCAACCATTATTCATGAGTTAAATAAGAGAAAGAAATACTTACAATTAATCCAAGTTCGAACGTTGAATTCGTAATACAAGCTTAATCCGAATAAAAAGGAAAAAAATGAAAATAAAGATAAAGAGAAGAAGAAAGATGGAGAAGAAGAAGAGAGGAAGAAAGGTTCGTGGTGTTTTTTCGTTTTCTCGGGACCTAGGGTTTTTAAGCCCCGGTCGAGAATTGTCTGTTTCTGAAGAGTCCCGCACGTATTTATATTAATAGTGCATCACGGCGCGGGTTGGGCGCATCACGGTGCGAGAAAAGGTGGTGCCGCGGCGCGGCACTGTGTAATATCCCGAGATATTATCAGTATAAATTAAGTTTAATTCCGATATAGTAACGTTAACGTTTATTATTTTCGGAATTAATTGAGTTCAGTCGGATTACCGAAATCGATTTTCGGCGTACCGTTTACGTCCGGAATAATTTTGGTAATTAAGTAGTATGTTTAATTTAGCAATTAAACACCAAATGAGTGATTAATTAAATTTAATCACAAGTTAAGTATTTTAACCCTAATTGCCGTGAGTAATTAGTAAAATTGGTTCCAAAAATTTTTCCTAAATTCGTAAGCAATTTTGGGCATGAAGTAAGGTTTATTGTCCAATCAAATCTTGTTACTTGGCAACCAAAGAGCTAGCTTAGTCATCATGAAAGGCATGAAAATTTAACAAGTGTATGGAGCCTAGCAAGCCACACCAAGCCCTCGTCACTCACCCTAGCGCACGGTGTGAATATATAAGGAGGCATTGGATCGAATTTTTGCCACATTTTCCCCTTATTAGTTGCAGCATATCCAGCCCTATATTCAGTTATTAATAGCCTTCATAACTTAAGTAAATTTTCCCCAAAAATCGCTTCACAATCGCACGGCATCGGCTAAGTACCGCACGGCGAGGAGAAGCGGCGAGTTAAATTCGATTTCCGTCGAACATCGCGAAAGGTAGTACTCTGTCCAGCTTACAATCTTAGTAATAGGTTCGGTTCAAAGTGAATTGCTTAGACTTTATGCGAAAATTTCACTTTAAACCGCAACCAAGTTCAAGTATGTTTAAGTATAGTGATCGCCGAACAATCTTCCTTTTCTTCCGGCAAGTCATGAGTTATTATGTTCCTATCAGCATATATTTTAAGTAATAAGATCAGTTAGGTGTACCTGGTCGAAGGAAAATGGATGATTGCCGATGAATTGGCCCAAGCCGTCGCTAATGCCGAGTGCACATAGCGACGGGCGGCCATGAGGCATGAGTTCGTGTACCGCGCATAAGCCATGACCTTTAATGTTT